AAGGGTCAGTGAAAACAACAGCTAGCAGACCCGTGACAGTAGGGCTGGCAGCACAAAGTGAGTCAGACTCGGGGTCCGGACCGTCAACAAGGGAGGACGCAAGAAGAGACGTCAGAGGGACATGCAGTGGAACAGAGGAAGGACGAAGTGCCATCTGGTGCGTGCCGGGGACAGGAGGAGGACGCCGACGTGGAACACGACTACCAGTGTGACGCGTGCGAACTGGCGACGCAGGACGAGACGCAGGCTCACGATGCTCAGCAAGATCTCAGGTCGGCCAAGTGTAAGGAGAAGGACCAGGCAGTGGGGAGGCTGGCTGTAACTGCGACTGCAACTGGACAGGCGGTGGAAACGATAAGGGAGGAGTAGGACCAGTAGAAGGCGGGAGACCAAGAACCTGCTCAAGTAGTGGAACGAAGTACGGCCGCTGCCGTACAGCACCACCACAACCAGCAGAGACAGCTCCAGCACCCCCAGCTCGAGCTCCTGCATCACCACTAGCACCAGCACCAGCAGCACCACCAGCAGGAACAGCTCTAGCGCCTCCAGCTCCAACTCTTGCAGCACCACTAGCTCCAGCACCAGCAGCACCTCCAGCAGGAACAGCTCCAGTGCCTCCAGCTCCAACTCCTTCAGCACCACCAGCCCCAGCAGCTCCAGTACCTCCAGTACGAGCACCTCCGAAACCAGCGGCTTCAGCACCTCGAGCAGCTCCAGCAGCAGCAGGACCTCCAGCTCCGGCAGCACGGCTCCAGCGCCGAGCAAACTACTTGCGCAGCTGCGGTGTAGAGAGTGGCTCCCGCCAGAACAAGACACCCGAAGGACCTCCAGAGGACAAAGTACATCCAGGCTTAGCACGCTCAGGCTCCACACGCTCAAACTCAGCACCTCCAGGCTCCGCACCCTCAGACTCAGTAACCCCAGGCTCAGCACCCTCAGGCTCTGCACCCTCAGACTCAGGGCCGCGACTGGGCGGCTGCAGGGCAGGGCTGGTAGGGTAGGGCCGCAACGGGGCGGCAGCAGGGTAGGGCCGCGACGAGCCGCGGCAAGGCAGGGCCGCGACGAGCGGCGAGGCCAGGCCGCGACGGGCGGCTAGGGCAGGCCGCAAAGGGCGGTGACAGGGCAGGGCCGCGGCGGGCGGCTAGGTAAGGGCCGCAACGGGCCGCGAAAGGGCAGGGCCATGAGGGGCCGTTAGGACAGGGCCGCTACGGGCCAGGAGGGCATGGCCGCTGCGGGCGGCAGTAGAACAGGGCGCGCGACGGCGCTGGTGAGGCAGGCGCGAGGCGCGCTTCGGGCAGGGCAGGAATTTTTTTTTAATCGTGGTGGGCCCTAAAAAAAACGTTCCCACTAGGGAACCTTCTCTAAAACTGTGTCAGAATTAGGAGTGAAGAATGACTAGAAACACAGCAGTACAAGGTTTGTATATGCAAAACCTAATTGGGCTGTACCCCTTAAGGAATGCCCCACTACAGCCTAGAGCATAGTTCTGACAGGTCGGTGTGGTTGGCTGCTGTGGTGTAAGTAGTTTCCATTCGTAGCAAAGGAACAATGGAGATTTCCCTGTGGCCACATGTGACGCGTTGTTTGTAAGCGAACTTAAGTGTCGGTAACTGTAAATGTCGGAGTATGTGGCCCTCAACAGCACATGCTCTCCTTCCTGTTGTTCTCCTTCAACACTCCCTCTTCTGTGCTGCCCTGCCTCAGTCACCCACTGCCCCCTCCTGTGCCTGTGCTTGAGTAGCTCGAGCTCGTGTCACAGGACCAGCTTTCTAAGGCTTGCTCCCCCTCACCAGGGCCGTGTTGGTCTGGTGCTCCTTCAGTTGTGCCCCCTTTTCGTTCTCCAGCACGAGAATCCGAACTTCCTTCACTCTCCACCTCTCAGTGTCCACCCCGACGTCCAACGTGTCCTGTTTCGCCCGTTGCAGGTACACCTCCTGCCCCTCACTTGCTCCCTTTTTCTCTCTCCTTCCCATCCCCTGCTGCTGGCATTGCTCATAACGTCTGGCGTCTCTCAGCTGTGCCGTGTGTAGGTTTTCTAGCGCTGCTGGCATTATCACTCGGAGGTACCTTGTCCTGGCCTCTGACAAGGCCACCCAGTTTTCTATGGTGCCTGCTGTCACTGTATCCGTGAGGACCCGTGGTGCCCCCACAGGTAGCACCGCCTCACACCCAAACAGAAGGCTGCAGGGTGAATGGTCTCTCAGGGCAGCCTGCTTCCCAAACCTATAGCCTGCCGCGATCCAGTGTAGCTCATTGTCCCATTCCCGCTTCCTTTTCTCCCCAGATGCCCGCAGCCCTCGCTTTAGCGTCTGTACCAGGCGCTCAGTCAGCCCATCACTCTGTGGGTGATACCGAGAGGTGCGCCTGTGGGTGATTCCTGCTTCCTCTAAAAGCTCCCTGAACTCCCCTTGAAACTCTGTTCCTTGATCGGTGAGCACCTTTGCACACGCCCCAAATCTGCATATTACCTGTTCCTTGAATGCTGCTGCCACATGCCTTGAGCTCTTGCTGGGGATAGCCCTCACCTCCAGCCACTTGCTCACGTGCTCTACCATGAGCACTATGTACCGTTTCCCCCCCCGACTCAGCGGCAGTTCCCCCGCCAGGTCCAAGGACCATCTGAAGCCTAACCCGCGGATGGGCAACGACTGCAGCTTGGCCTTGGCTTGGGTCAGGTTTGCTCGGCTCCTTTGGCAGGCCTCACATCCCTCCACCCACTTCTGCACCTGTCTGCGCATTCCCTCCCACCACCAGCCGTCTTCAACAGATGTACTGTCCTCTCATGCCCGAAGTGCCCCAGCTTTGAGTGCACCTTTTTTATCACTGCTTCCCTCTTACCTGGGGCTGGCACCAGCTTCCACCCACCCTCAGTCTGTATCTGCAACTGCTGCTGGTACCACCTGTAGTGGTGCCCCCTTTCTCTCACCCTCTCGCTCATCTCCTCGTCTGCCCCTGTCTCCCCCTTCACCCATCTCACAGCCTGCTCATCCTCCCGGATATCAGCCAGCCCCTTGCTCCTCCTGGCCCCGCTCAGCTCTACTTGTCTTGCCAGCGGCGCTAGAGTCACAGTTGGCTCTAGCGGTGGGGGGTTACGGGAGAGGCCGTCCACATGCTGCAAGGTTTTTCCTGGCCTGTGCTTGATTTTGAAGTCATACTCCTGCAGCTTTATTGCCCATCGTGCATTCCTGCCTGTTAACCCCGGTGTAGTCATCAGCCATGTCACTGGCTGGTGGTCCGTCACCAAGGTGAACTCTTGCCCCTGCAGATAGACCGTGAAGTGCCCCACAGCCCATACTGCCGCCAGTCCCTCCCCCATGTATGAGCTGTACTTTGCCCCACCTTCTCATCCCCTTCCACCTCCTGGCAGAGTATCCTGCCCATCCCTTGGCTGCTCCAGTCGATGTAGAGGGTGAAGGGTTGGTCCGCTGCTGGCAGCTGCAAGACGGTTGCTGTTTTTACTGCCGTTATCAGGTCCTACAATGCCCCCTTCAGCGCTTCCTCCCACTCCCATGTCTTGTCCTCCCTTAACAGCCCGTTCAGCACCTGGTGAAGTTGGGCACGAATCGCCGGTAGTAACTCAAGAACCCCAATACCGCTCTCAGCCCTGTCTTGTCCTTTAGTTCTCGCAGCCTATCCAGCACCACCACCTTTGCTTCCTGGATCCCGATCTGCCCCCCTTTCACCTCGTAGCCTAGATACTGAACGGTCTGCTCACCCCACCTACACTTCTTCGGGTGACACGTGAGTCCTGCTGCTTCTATTGCCGCCAGTGTCCTCTCCACATCCTGCAGGTGCTGCTGCTCGGAGGTGCTGAAGATCACCACGTTATCTATGTAGCATGCTGCACATTCTACGTCCCTCAGCACTGCATCCATGACTCTCTGAAACGCTGCTGATGCGTTCCTCAGCCCGAATGGCATGTAAAGCCACTCGTACAGCCCATCCGGCCCATGGATTTCAGTCTTCTTAATGTCTTCCTCCCTGAGTTTTATCTGATTGAACCCCTGCCGTAGGTCCAGTGTTGTGAAGAACACCCCCTCTACTAACTTGTCAAATATCTCCTCCGCCATCGGCATTGGGTACTCGTCCGCCACGGTAATCTTGTTGAGCGCTCGGTAGTCTCCGCACATCCTCCTGCTCAGGATCTCCCCTGTTAAGTCCTTCCTCGCTGCCATCACCGTTGGTGGCGTATTCTGATTCTGAGCGCCGGATCAGTCCGGCCGCTAGCAGCTCCTTAATCTTCTCCTCGCATATCTCTTCATCTCCGTTCGGCATCTTCCTACGCCGTTAGAGCACAGGCTCTATGCTGCTTAGTTTCAGCCCCATCTCCTTCGCTTTGCACCTTCCCTATTCTTGCAGTGTGAAGGCAAAGCAGTTCCAGTCCCCCCCCCAGTGTTTCGTCCAGGCCTCCAAGATTGCTGATGAGGAGGCTGCTGTCCGAACACTTCACATCTTCCGCCAAATTTATAAGTCGGATGTAGTAGGTCAGTAGGAATTCTGTCCGCCCCCTCTTGAACTCCTAAAACTCCTTGATGCGCGTTGCCGTGTGTCCCGGGAATTGACACTGAAGCCGCTCCAGAAATGCCTCAGTGGGATCCTCCCCGTACCTCCCCGCCCTACACAGCAGCTCATCCATCCTCATGTGGTATAGCGTCTCCGCCTCTCCCTCCAGTGTGTTTGGCAGGCTCAAGAAGAAGTCTGTTGGGTCTATGCCTTGTCTATTACAGCGGTATTTCACGTTCCCCACCTGCATCAAGTAATTCTTGAGGGCCGGCCCCACCCGTTGGTCCCCCGAGAACCTCGCCGGCACTTCCACCCGCATCGCGCTGGCTGCACTTCCCCGTCCTTCTCCCCATGATTCCCTGGCCCCTCCCAGCCGCTCTCCCTCCGTTCCTCTCTCCTTGGCCCTCTCCAGCCCTTCCCTGGCCTCTCGAGCCCGCTCAGCGCCATATGCCAAGCTCCCTCCTTCTGCTCTACTCTTCCGCTGATTCCAGCCCGAGTCACCGTGCCTCTCGGGCCCCTCTCCTCTTCTGCACGCCCTCGCGTTCGTGCCGGCGAGACTCGTGCCTCTCTCCACCCCACTGTGCTTGTCTCTCGCTGCCGCTGCCTCTCTGGCGACGGTTCCCATGCTTCTCCCCTCCCTTGCTGCCGATGATCTCCGGGCGAGCGCCTGTCTCCGCCGCCTTCTCCTCCTCGCTGCTGCCGGACGAGCGGCGAGCGGAATCCGCCGCCCATCCTCCTCTCCCATTGCGCTTGCGGGCCGGACGTCCGTGCCTCCCAGCCGCGCTCCTCTTGCCGCCGGCCGCGCCTCTCTGATGAACTGGGCCCCTCCTCGCGTCCTTCTTTCCGCCGCCAGTGGTGGCTGGGGGCGCGTGGCTTGCCCTCCCATCCTCCCTTGCGCATCGGCTGCCTGTCCGGCGATCCTGCGCCGTCTTCGCCCCAGCCCCCTTGTGCTTGGCGCTTGTCGAGTGCGCAATCTTTCCTCTGACGCCCGCGGTCCCTCTACCTCCCCCTGGCCACGTTCTCCTTGCGTCCCCCCAGCGCCAGCACGCACGCCCCAGTCCCGCCGCTCCTACTGACCCGACCTTTCCGCGTAGTGCTCATCTTGATGGCTTGCATCGCGCCTGCGCGATTCCGGCCGTCTCGACCAAGATCCTTCCGCCACTGCCTGGCTTGCGCCCCCGGCAATGTCCGCCTCTCCAGGCTCGGCGTCTCCGATCCCAGGCGCGGTTTCCTCGCCGTCATCTCCTCTGTCGGCGTCTTCGACCGACCGTTCCAGGTTCGCTGCGTCCTCCTCCGCCTCTTCCTCGCCGGACGTCTCCCATGCTTCTTTCGTTTCGGCGGCTTCCCCTCCTCCGTCGGCGTCAAATCGCTCGATGCCCCGCCAACGGCCCCTCTCATCACAGCGGCGCCCGCGCTCTTTTGGCAAGCGGAACATTCCCACAGCGCGTCGGTCTCCGCTCCTGTATCCATCCCCGCGATCATGCTCTCCCCACCACACGTCTCCATCCGCGCTTGCAGCGTATCCTTCTCCACCCGCTCCCACGCTAGGCCTCCCTTCCGCCTGCCGGTCCCCAGTGATGGGAACTCTATCTGCGCGAAAATCCGGCCTTCGCGGCGAGCGCTCCAGAGATCGCCCGCGCTCGTGTGACGGCTCACCTCATGCTCATTCCTCCTCCCGGCGACTAAACACCCTACCCCAACGTTCAGTATGAACGGGATTGCTCCCTCACCCCACAGGTTCCCTCTTAGTGCTGTGCCACCGCGTGTAGTAACTAGGATGACAGCCTTTCACTAGTATGAGAGAATACTGAACAATAAGCATCGAGTGGGTGGGCGTGGGTGACCTTACCCAACCTGGGCTTGCACATTTCCAATGTGCGACTCGAGGTTGGGATTCGTTCCAATCCCACATTTTGCCCTTCGGTCTTTTCCCCCTTCATCCCAACCGCTCCCACATATTTCCCCCTTTTTACACCCCTTTGCAACCGACACTTCGCTACTGGCTACACTTCCTACACTACTCCTTATCTACATACCATGCATTCATAGCTATTTCCTATACTACTTCACAGCACCGCACTCTACTGTTATTGCATATGCATCCCTTGCATATGCGATGACATAGGTCCCAATGGATGATGCCGTCTTTGCAAGCTGTAAGCAGTAACTATTCCACCACCTGATTGAGTTGTTCAGTATGTCCGTCAGTCTGGTGGTGGTACGCTAAAGACATCGCAAGCCTTGTCCCTAGCAAACCCATGAGTTCCCTCCGGAACTTACAAGTGAACTTTGGGTCTCTGTCCGAGATGAGTGTAGCGGGGATGCCGTGGATGGTGGTTATGCGGTCAAAGAAGAGGCGAGCTGTTGCGCAGCATTGGTCGGAATGAAGTGTCCCATTAGAGAACTTATCAATCACCACGACTATAGCGTCATGCTCTCGTGAGGTCGAAGGAAGCCCAGTCATTAATACTTTGCTATTTCCGCTAATGTCTTGTTGCTCCCAAAATGTCTCGCGTATGCCACGTCGTGGAACTCCTCCTGTATGAGTCGTCGAAGTGGGGCATAGTTTGGTACCCAAATATTTCCTGAACCCTTCCTTATAGCTAAGTCTTTCTCCCACTGTAACAGCTTCTGCTTTTATGTTGTAGCGATCTTTGCGTCCACAGAGTTTCCATGTTGGAATAGACCTGTGAACAAAGGGTTCATCCCATCGAGCTAGATGCATGCTATATGCCCTGGGCGGCTCAGTGCGTCTGCCTTGTTTTGTAGCCCTGGCTTGTAGGCAATGTCGTAATGGAAGTATGTTTCGAGGAAGTCCATGTACCGCACCTGTCGTCGTGAGAACGTAGGCTACAACTTAAGGTATTTGGGGCTGTAGTGGTCAGTGTAGACTGCAGTCTTGGCTCCCTCTAGGTAACACCTCCACGCTTTGAAGGCTGTGACTATTGTTAAGGCTACTTTGTCATGGATTGGGTAGTTTATTTCAGCTTCGTGTAGCTTCTTAATGAGGTAGGCAATGGGCTGCAAACCGCGTCCGTGATCCTGCATGAGTACTGCTCCAACTGCCTGGTCACTAACGTCTGCTCCCACCATGTAGTCTCTGTCTGGATCTGGTAGGATAAGTACTAGGGCTGTAGTCAGTGCTGTCTGTATCCTATTTAGAGGGTGTATCCCTTTTCAGCAAGTTCGTCAGTGGCGCTGCTATCTTAGCGTACTGTGGCACGAACCTGTTGTAGTAGTTGGCGAAGCCTAAGAACTGCTCCAACTCCTTCACGTTCTCCAGAACATTCCACGTTTTTACGGCTTCGATCTTCCACGGGTCCATGTGTACGTCCTCGGCACTCACCATGTGCTTGAGAAACTAAACCTTCTTCGAAGAAAAGACGCTCTTCGACAGCTTCACGTGGAACTTATTTTTCCGTAGGATCTCGACGACTTTGCGCGGATACTCCATGTGCTCCTTCATGTTCTTGAAGTAGATGAGAATGTCATACAGGTACACGACCACGCACTCGTCCAGCAGGGGCTGTAGGGTGTGATTTTTCTCCGCCTGGAATCGCTGGTGTGTTGCAGAGTCCAAACAGCATCACTAAATATTTGTAGCAGCCGTATCTGGTACGGAATGCCGTCTTTTGAATCGAATTATCTGCCAGTCACTCGACCGTATGTCCAGCTTCGAAAGTACCGTTGCACCACGGTTGGTATAGAAGATTGTCTATGCGCGTTATGCTGTATTTGTTCTTTAGTGTCTGTTTGTTCAGTGCCTGGTAGTTGATGCACATCTGTGAAGTACCGTCCGGCTTTGGAGTGATGAGAAATGGTGCACCATAATGAGAGGTGGATGGGCGGATCAGTTGTCTGTCCAGTAGATACACTATCTGCTTCTTCATGTCAGTCAGTTTGGTCAGACTAAGGCGGTATCGTGCATGTGAGACGGGTTTTGCACCTGGTTCCTCCACCATCCCGTGCTCGTGGGCTCGCGCTGGAGGTACTCTTGCAGGCAGGTAGACCGGCATGATGTCTTTGCACTGCTCCAACACCTCCTGTACTATTGCAGCCAACTCCGAGTTCGGCTTCTCCTCCTCTACTGCTACCATCATAAGTGCTAAGTAACCCGTGTTACTCTTGATCATTGTCCGTTCGAACCGTGCGAGTGTCATTTCAGGTACATCCTCTGTGTCTTTCGAGCTTCGCAGCTCCACATGTTTCCCGTTGTTGTAGATACATGCCTTCCGGTTGAACCAGTCAATCTCGGGGTTGAACCGCTTCAGAAAATCATGGCCCAAGATGAAATCCAATCCTTTGATGTTCATGATTGGCAACGTCGGCTTCCACCTTAAAAACGAGGGTCTAGATTTGCCTAGCTGAGGTTCAGAAGTATTTGTTTTGAACCAAGCTTGCCAGCGCGAAAGTGTTGGCTGGCGAAAACCTGGATTTCGTGCAGACACTTTCCCCTCGCAGTAACAGTTCGCCAGGGTTTAGGGTTTCGGGTGGAAATGTGCACCGTCGCTTTAACACCCCCTATCTGCAGCTGCAGTGTTGACTTGCCGTAGATGGGAAGTTTTGTACTGTCCACCATCGTTGCTGTAAACCGGGTCTCCTCCAAGGACTCTCCAATTTTCTCCAACGTCCCGCAATCGCACATCGAGTGAGACACACCACTGTCCACAAGTGCCTTAAGGCGATGCCCCTTTGCAGAGCACCTCGAGTATTAGTGGTTGTTTCCACTCCGAGTAGCTGTAGATGGTCTTGCTTACAGGATCATAGGGTACGTCGAATATGTCATCCCTAGGTCCTGCGCTCGAAGATGCTGACTTAATATCAGTTTTCAACTGGGTAGGGCTAGAAGGATTTATCTAAGGCCGATTCAGCTTCGCATGGGCCTGGAACCTTCCCCTAGCCTTTGCAGCTGTGTAGGCTTTACTTGTGGGGAACGGTGGGAAGCCTTAACACCGTGCTGCTAGGAAAGAATACCAACTCCTTGGAACGCTTGACCCTTATCAATGCTCCGGAATGGGGTCCCCATTTTAACCGGTACCGGTATAATTTATGACTCTCCCTTAATAAGGGCTTGAAAACCAAGAGAAGTAATATTCTTAGTTTTAAGCATCTGTATAGGATAACTTGAGTGAATTCTTACTTGTCAGGGTGTACGACTGGAGTTTCCCGGTCCGTGCAGGGTGTTGTTTCGCGGAGTCTCCTTTTCTTTCGGCGATTTCCCCTTGTGACGGCTGGTCATGAAGTTTTACATTTGCGCCATCATATTATCCTATTTTCGCTATCTCCAAAGTCGCCACATTGACCGTTTTCTTGTTCGGGGGTGCTGCAGTGTTCTTGCCATTAAGCTCCGCATGCCTTTTTTTCATTTTCTAACATGCCAAGATACAATGTCTTGTAGCGCCGCAAAATTTGCACGTATCATTTTTTGCTAACCGCTGCTTTGCATCGCCTTTGTCTTTCTCCATCGGGTCGGCAGTCATGGGTGGCGCGGATCGCTCCCTGCCACTATTTGGCTGGTTGCGCCATGTTCCGTAGTAGATACTGTTCAATGTGTCGAACTGTTCGATCAGTGCTGCACGAAACTGCGCCCACGTCCCTTCGCCTTGGACAATTTTGTTGCTGATCCACTCTAGAGCAGGGCCTCGTAACAGTGTTGCTGCGAGGCGTATGCGCATCGCAGCTTGGGTGGGGCTTATGCATCCAACGGCTTCAAAGTAATTTCGAGTTCAGCTACAAATCAACGAATGTCGCTCCCTTCAACTATAGAATCGAACGCCTCTGGTTGCCTCGGAATCGCTGCTTCGAGGTTGCCTGTAGCTGTTGCCGTTGTCGTAGGTACAACTATCGATGTCTCCGCTGCTGGTGCAGTCACTGCTGCATTCGCTGCTGCGTTCACTGCTGCTGTGGTGGTTGCCGACTTGTTTGCGATTAACGCCTCAAGTAACTGGAGAGCTGCTCGCATCTGGTTCATGTCAGTGCGCAACTCCGTAATTTTCCATACAAAATTATCACAATTTTCCTACATTTGGTGATTTTCAGGAAGACTTGCGACGAAAGTAATTGAAATATGTGCGCTGGTCGACTTACTGCGAAGCGAATTGACTTCCGGATCAATGAGCGCAATTTTTGCATTTTCGTAATTCTCTCTTAGCCGAATTGGCCGTGGGATTCCTAGCAGGAGCGACAACCTGCCCGTAGATGACGGAGAAGGAGAGGAAGGGGGCACTAAGCAAGGCCATGAACCTCAATGCACTGCATTGGCTCATCACCACCATGGCCGACCATCTGGATCGGAAGTGGTTGGAGCGCAGGATCGGGCTAACGACACAGGTCAGGTCAAAGACGCGGTTGGCGACAAGGAGATGGAAGCAAGGACGATGCTGGAAGAATTGGAGGCCACGGAAGAGAATCAGTGGTGGCGAGGAAATCTGGAGG